GTTTTTATTGGTTATTTTCAAGTTATTTTCCTTTTGTGTGTTTTTTTTTTTTTTATTATTATTTTATGTGTTTGTTTATTTATTTATTTATTCACTTAGTTTTTTGCTTTTTCTTTCTTTTTTGTTGTCATTGTATTCTTTGTTTACATTTTTGTTACAGTATTATTATTTTAGTTTGTTTGTTTATTTATTTATTAATTAATTTATTTATATATTTTTCTTTTTTTTCAACCTACATCTCCATAGCCATATAAATCTCCTCTCCTCTTCATTTCCACCCCTCTCTCTCCTCCTCCCTCTCTCTCCTCCTTCTCCCTCTCTCTCCTCCTTCTCCCTCTCTCTCTCTCTCTCCTCCTCCCTCTCTCTCTCCTCCTCCTCCCTCTCTCTCTCCTCCTCCTCCCTCTCTCTCTCCTCCTCCTCCTCCTCCCTCTCTCTCCTCCTTCTCCCTCTCCTTCCTTCTTCTCCCTCTCTCTCCTCCTCCTCCCTCTCTCTCTCTCTCCTCCTCCCTCTCTCTCTCTCTCTCTTCCTCCCTCTCTCTCTCTCCTCCTCCTCCCTCTCTCTCTCCTCCTCCCTCTCTCTCTCCTCCTCCTCCCTCTCTCTCTCCTCCTCCTCCCTCTCTCTCTCCTCCTCCTCCCTCTCTCTCTCCTCCTCCTCCTCCTCCCTCTCTCTCCTCCTCCTCCCTCTCTCTCTCCTCCTCCTCCCTCTCTCTCTCCTCCTCCTCCCTCTCTCTCTCCTCCTCCTCCCTCTCTCTCTCCTCCTTCTCCCTCTCTCACCTCCTCCTCCCTCTCTCTCCTCCTCCTCCCTCTCTCTCCTCCTCCTCCCTCTCTCTCCTCCTCCTCCTTCTCTCTCCTCCTCCTCCCTCTCTCTCCTCCTCCTCCCTCTCTCTCCTCCTCCTCCCTCTCTCTCCTCCTTCTCCCACTTTCTCCTCCTCCTCCCCCTCTCTCTTCTCCTCCTCCCTTTTTCTCCTCCTTCTCCCTCTTTCTCCTCCTTCTCCCGCTCTCTTCTCCTTCTCCCTCTCTCTCTCTCATACTCTCTCTCTCTCTCTCTCATACTCTCCCAATCTCAGTCTCCACCTCCACCTCCACCTCCTCCACCTCCACCTCCACCTCCTCCACCTCCACCACCTCCGCCTCCACCTCCACCTCCACCTCCACCTCCACCTCCACCTCCACCTCCACCTCCACCTCCACCACCACCTCCATCTCCACCTCCACCTCCACCTCTGCCTCCACCTCCACCTCCACCTCCACCTCCACCTCCACCTCCACCTCCACCTCCACCTCCACCTCCACCTCCATCTCCATCTCCACCTCCATCTCCATCTCCATCTCTATCTCCATTTCTTTATTTTTTTTTGTTATGTTATTTTCTTTCTATATTAATGAATTGTTACTCTTTGGGTGTATATGTAAATTAACTGCTAAAGTGTGGATGAAGAAGTGAATACTGTACTTTCATTAAAAGAATGGTTCTTCTGAATGTTGTATGCCATATTTTCAGCATCTCTTGTAAAGAAAGAAAAGTAATACTGTCCAAAAATAACGATGGTAGAACCTCTGGGAAAATAAGCAAGCATATAAAACAGACATTTATACATGGAAACATTCTGAAACCAAACAGGGTATCAGTATGTAAGGGACTGGGGGAGGAGGAGGGGTTAGACCAGAACGTTCCAAGTGTATGCTTTGCTTGAATGTAGATATGTCCGATAAGAGGTACTGTACAGGCCCTTGAACAGATGTCTTGATAAGGCACACCTTAGTTTAACCCACTCACCACAGTAGTGGCGTCTTGTTAAGCCACATGCTGGGAGTCTCGTGCAGTCAGCTGCTTTAATGACAAAGTATAGTGCAGGAAAAATATGCTCTTATTTGTTGCATAAATGATTGCTTAGGAAATGAGGCTAAATTGAGGCTTAAAAACTCTTTTTGAGAAACTGTTTCTCCTCAGATCCAAACAAATGAACAATTGTTTGCATGCACAGCATAGTGCAGGCTCGATTATGCATAATGTGATACATCATCACCCTAGCAAGAGTGCTGGTTTGTAACGTCATCTGTTGTGAGAGGGTTACGGATTAAGCACACTGATTTTGAGAACTGACATGGTCCCTTTAACCTAAAGTTTCCAGCTACCCAACACCCCAAGTAGGAAGTGTTCCCAGCAGCAGTTTGTTTTGATATATACTTCATAGCAGGTCCCCCCCAAATTAGAATACACTTATTATGGTAATGTAGATATAGTCTTAATGTGTACCTTTATGAATAGTTATAGAAGTAGTTATGCTAATGCCACATTAACTTCAGCTTTTAAGGCTCATAGATCTGTGTCCTGATTAGACTTTGTTTCCAGTTTTAACCCATTGCTGCCGGGGAAAATGAACAGAAAATGGGGGAAATGCAGTACTTATTTTTTATATTTTTGTGAAATATCTCTGTCCATAGATGGCTCTGCTAGTCCTGATTTCACCTTTCCTTGAATTGGCGGTCAAAAACGTATTTTTACTAGTGCTATAAATATAGATGGTGTTATTTTTAACAGCAAATTAGGATAACGTTAAATATTTTTGTAAATCGATGAAAAGGGTGAACGGGCGAGACAGGCAGTACTCGTAATTGGCTCATTGGACACTTAGTACAAGTGTAGCCATCTATGTGTAAAAAGAATCGAACAATTTGAATCACAGTGGGCATAGTATGTACGTACATGCCATCCCTGGCGGCAATGGGTTAAGGTCTCATTATGTTTGTGTGGAAACCTTGCATTTAGGAGTACATCTATAAACACTGTATACCAAGTGGCATACTGTATTTATTGACGAATAGATATTTAGACCCTATCCAGATTGGTAGTCAGATTTGGCATTTGTACTATGTACTGCTGTAAGGGTGAGAAAAAGTCTTTACAATTTGCACATTCAGATTGAGGTTTGACCTTTCCAACATATCCCAGTCTTCCTCCGCTGAGGTTCATGCAATCTGTATCTTCCTAAGAACACTCCTATTGACATCTTATCTTCCAGTGAGAAATGTTTAATGACTGGCATCTTTCTTACAGATCAACCCACACTGGCTCTAACTCCTCCCACACCTCATCAAAATCTGCATGACTCTCTTCTAGAAAGCTCTTAAATTTGGTAACATATGCATGTCTGGAACTGTATACTTGTGCACATTGCTATTATATATTTCTTTTACTCCCCTGGCAAGGACTGCTTAGTGGTACTGTGTTTATAAGTGCAAAATAAAGTGTGCATTGGATATGGCATTATGTAAAATTATAAGCTTGATGGAGGGAAGGTGAACTCCAGTTGCATAATCTCTAAGATAACAAGCTCTTGCAATATAGCATTCTGTCGGAAAATATTATCAGTCATTAAACATCTTGATATCCGTAGGGAAATTTTTATCTTGACAGAGAAAGAATTGAGTTTGCTCACCGGTACTCTGTTATTTTTAAATTTTTAGTCTTATATATGCTGCATATTTTTTTTTTGTCCCCAGAGCTGTAGATTTTGTTGGAAATATATATTTTTTTTCTTTTACCTTGTTGCTGATTGGTTGGCATAATTACTTTACTGTACACATATGTAAGCAGTCCTGATATTTGTGATTTATTTATTTACGCGCACACACGCGCACACACATGCACACACACGCACACACGCGCACACACATGCACACACACGCACACACGCGCACACACATGCACACACACGCACACACGCGCACACACGCGCACACACATGCACACACACGCACACACGCGCACACACATGCACACACACGCACACACGCGCACACACATGCACACACACGCACACACGCGCACACACATGCACACACACGCACACACGCGCACACACATGCACACACACGCACACACGCGCACACACATGCACACACACGCACACACGCGCACACACATGCACACACACGCACACACGCGCACACACATGCACACACACGCACACACGCGCACACACATGCACACACACGCACACACGCGCACACACATGCACACACACGCACACACGCGCACACACATGCACACACACGCACACACGCGCACACACATGCACACACACGCACACACGCGCACACACATGCACACACACGCACACACGCGCACACACATGCACACACACGCACACACGCGCACACACATGCACACACACGCACACACGCGCACACACATGCACACACACGCACACACGCGCACACACATGCACACACACGCACACACGCGCACACACATGCACACACACGCACACACGCGCACACACATGCACACACACGCACACACGCGCACACACATGCACACACACGCACACACGCGCACACACATGCACACACACGCACACACGCGCACACACATGCACACACACGCACACACGCGCACACACATGCACACACACGCACACACGCGCACACACATGCACACACACGCACACACGCGCACACACATGCACACACACGCACACACGCGCACACACATGCACACACACGCACACACGCGCACACACATGCACACACACGCACACACGCGCACACACATGCACACACACGCACACACGCGCACACACATGCACACACACGCACACACGCGCACACACATGCACACACACGCACACACGCGCACACACATGCACACACACGCACACACGCGCACACACATGCACACACACGCACACACGCGCACACACATGCACACACACGCACACACGCGCACACACATGCACACACACGCACACACGCGCACACACATGCACACACACGCACACACGCGCACACACATGCACACACATACACACACATGCACACACATGCACACACGCGCACACACGCGCACACACGCGCACACACGCGCACACACGCGCACACACACGCACACACGCGCACACGCGCGCACACACATGCACACACACGCACACACGCGCACACACATGCACACACACGCACACACGCGCACACACATGCACACACACGCACACACGCGCA